AGTAGGATGGAGTATTATTTTGATTCATTGCCTAGATACCAACACTGGCATGTCTGGACCAAGTTGGCAGTCCAACACTGATAAACCCCAAATTATTTTTTAAAATTGTACTGCTCAATTTCAGTAACAAACCTCCACCAAAAAAAACAGATATATTTTCTATTGTGTTTCAGAATAAACAAAGAACAAACAAGTTTGTATATTTTAAATTGGTCTTAAATCATCAAGAAAACCAAATTCCCTCCACACAAATCACCAGACCGGTTAGCCCCACTTATTTCAATGAAACAACTGCACTACTGCTTTGTCCACTGCCTGCCCTCTGTCTATGAATGTGTCAACCCAGCCTCTGAAAAAGTGTTTGTCTTTGCTCTAAATTGTGCAATTCTCATCTGCTTATCAATTTTTAAAAAAAAAATAGTGTTTATTTCTTCCTTTGAGGGGCCTGCAATTTGAATTAAGTAAAATATTGATGCACTTTTTTCCTTTAAAGTGCAAAGACTGTTGAGTAAGTCTTTGCATTTTAAGTCTATGTCCTGCCTTCACAATTTCTGGCAAACAAAGTTATAGTTATATTATATATCATGGGATAACGAGTTCAGAGCTGTATAATCTAGAAAACTTTTACTATATGAAATGGTATTACAGGCACTAAAGTTGAAACATCATTTGTTATCATTGTTGCTACGGTATCTAAATGTTTTGAAACCTAGCCAAGGAACTGTCATATTGAATCTGAATAATCTGAATATTCTGGCCTATTAATTAGGTTGGAAATACAGTTCACTTTTATTAATATGATATGCTTATAGACCAGCTCAAATTCCTCAAATAATATGGGATACAAAGTGAAAAGGGTTACTTCAACTTACAACATCAAAAATAGTCTGGTTTCCAATCAAGAATAGGCAGCTGGTGTCCTCCAAGCACAAGACGCACAGCCCATAGCTGCAGTCTGAAAGATCTGAAGTGTACCAGGTTGTCTAGACTTATATTCTGAGTATCCTTTATCCTGTATCATGAGTTCTAGTCCTGCCTTATCCATGAAAACCAGCTGGGTGACCTTGGGCCATTCATTCTCTCAGCCCAAGTCACCTCACAACATTGTTGTGTGGGGAAAATAGGAGGAGGAAAGTATGTTGGATATGTTCACTGCCTTGTCTGTGGAAATAATAAAAGTGAGATACTAACAAAACAAAACAAACAAATCCACTGAGGAAAGCAGGAATTGATTAGCACCAGAAAATCAATGGTGGAACAGCTTTCTCACAATCACCATTTTCAGAGTAAAGAAATAAATGGAGAACTGCTGAAAAATGCTTAAAGAAACAAGACTCTGAACTGATAGTTGAGCTGCCTATCTAGGTTGTTGCTCCTTTTCTATTTGCACAATTTGATAGTATGTAAAAATACACTGCATTTTGATTTTTGCCTATAAACTATGAAGCAGATGAAAATTATTGTTTTCAGGGCATAGTGGAATGATAGGGGTAAAGGGGGATATTTGGCCCTAACTTCCTGCTGAATGCAAGAATTCAAGTGAAAGCATTTTAGACCAGAGGTCTCCAACCTCCCGTATCAGTCAATGGCCTGTTGGGAACTGGGCCACACAAGCGATGGGCAAACGTGCAAAGCTTCCTTTGCGCATGTATGAGAGCTAGATTGCACATGTGAAAATCATCCGCTCCCCCCCCCGGTGGCCACTTAATTATATATTTATTATATAATTTATTATATTATTATGTTGGGATATTCATAAGCAGGAAGAGTCATGTGGTAACTCAGTCAGCCAATGTGAAGAAAGTGCTACTGAGTCTGTGCAAAAAGGTATTGAGTTAGGAGCTGGATTTCCAGTCTCAGGTTTGTCTCTGTATCTCTCTGTAAGAAGTCTTCATTGGGCTATATTGCTGTAAAGAAGAATGTATGGTATTGTAAATATTTTGATATGAATATAAAAAGTTTATTTTGAATCAGCTAAATGCAGTCAACTGTGAGAGCTTCTGATTTATTTTTCACCAACAGAGAAATTAAAATTCTCTAACATATTATATATTTATTTGATATATAATTTAATATATATTAAACTATTAAAACTATGCAGATTAAAATTTAAAAAACTATACAAAAACCAAACTAGAAGATGGGCAACAAGGAATTGAGGTCTTCTCACCCAGTCAACCTCCTCCAGCGGTGAGCACCCCCTTCGGGTTGCCAGACCAACTGGCAAAGCCAAGTTTTAATACTCTTTCAGAAGACGAAAAAGATGGGAACAGTTCTCACCTCCGGTGGTAGAGTTAGTGGGGCCACAGTGGAAAAGCATCTTAGCAGATGGGATCCGTGGCAGGCCTTTCTGTGGTGCAAGTGGGACAGGCTAAACTCATTGGGGAGAAACTATACAAGCAGTTATCGATGCATCGCAATGTACCCATGCTACATTGCTGTTTCATGAGCTGATTAGCTACCAGTTGAATTCCCAGTGCAATTCAAGATACCGGTTGCCATCTATAAAACCTCTCATGGCCCAGACCTGATTATTTGCAGAACTGTTTCTGGTAACCTCTGCTTATATAGTAAGATCTGGCCGAATGGGCATATTCAAAAGTCCTTTATTTAAGCAGTGCCATTTGGTGGAACCTAGGAGGCATGCTTTCTCTCTTGCCATGCTAGCCCTCTGGAATAGCATTCTCCCAAGAATCAAATGGACCCAACTTATACTTGCCTTCTGAAGAGCCTCTGACCTGGTTTTAATCCCAGGCACTGAGTCAGTTGTGTTTGCCCATCTCACCAAAAGGAACCCTGAGCAGTGCACAATAATCAGACAAAAACAACAGATGTAAAAACAACAGCTATAAAACATAGAAATACATATTAATACATATCATAAAAGTCAAAGTAACAAACCATGGGCAAAGAGAGGATCAAAATGGTCAACCTCAACAATGGTCCCATCTGAGCAGATCTCCAGTTGCCTTGGACCCCCAGGCCTGATAACAAAATCAGGTTTCAAAGGCTTTTCAGAATATCAAAAGAGATGGAGCTGATTTAATTTAGAGAAGAATATTCCATAAAGCCACAGCAGAAAATCCAGGTCTCCTGGAACCCATCCAATGTAGGTCCCTAAACAGTGGTATGTGCAGCATGCCTTCTCTTCCAGATCTAATGGGACCGGTTGATTTAACCATGGAGATGTAGTTCCTTACGTAGCCCAGTCCAGCGTCATGAAGGGCTTGAATTGCACCTGGAAGCAAACTGATAGCCAACACAGAGGTGTAACATGTGCTGTTCTAAGAGCAGTGCTTTTTTTCTTTAAAAAAAAAAGGTGCCAGAACTCACACACATCATACAACCTGCCTACAAGGTTCCATCCAAAAAAGATGCCGGAACTCCGTTCTGGGCGTTCTATGAGAAAAAAAGCCCTGTCTAAGAGCATATATAACTGCCCAAGTCAGTGCCTATTGTACTAGCCGAAGCTTCCAAATATTCTTCAAGGGGAGCCCCATGCAGAGTACATTGTCATAATCCAATCTGGAGATGACCAGAACATGAGTAATTGTGACCAGGACTTGCCAATGCAGGAACAAGTGCAACTGGGACACAAGGTAAAGCTGAGCAAAGGCACTCCTAGTCACAACTGCCATCTGTTCTGTGAACAGGAGTTGTGAGTTTACCCCCAGTCTGTGCACAGGGTCTGTCTGGGATAGTGCAACTCTAACCATCATCACCAAAGATGATATTGTCCTGGAACCAGTGAGGCCCCCAAATCCAAAGCCACTTAGTCTTGCCAGACAATGTCTTTTGCTAGATGTTAAAAAAGAGAAGAGAAAGCACTGAACCCTGTGGCACCCGACATAATTCATTTAATTGTCCATTTGTTGCCTCCACACATTTGTGTTATGATGAGGGTAGCATGGGAAGGTTTATGTGTGACAGAGGCAGTATAATATACACGCCCCAAAAGCTACAGCTATCCTTTCACAGGCACGCCTGTTCTTTTGCTCCAGGCAGAGATACTTTCTGGGTGAAAAGCAGCTCAGCTAAAGCAAAGCCAAAATCCAGCACCAAGGACCTTCCATAACAGTTCCAGAACCTCCTCTCAGGAGATGCAGGCCCTCGGCCAATAGCTGAACTTCCAGAAGGCAGAGAGGAAGAGGGGAGACAGTGCAGAGGATCAGCGCAGGCTGAATGATCCTAGACTACTCTGGAATATTACTGTTTGCTTGCATTTTCTTCCATTCAGTCATGTCTGATTCTCATGCTACAAAGTAACAGTTATTTGAAAAAGTACTATTTTTAAACCCTGAACAAAATGGTGTGCTTTTTTTCTGCTAAGGAAAAATCAACAGTTACTCAAAGCTTTGGAATATCTAACTTCTCAGGGTCTTTGGGGATTATTTCCTCAAATGGGAAATGGGTGTTGGTCATTACCTTTAAAGCCTTATATGGCTCAGGGCCAGGCTATTTGCGAGACCGCCTACTACCTCATAGTTCCCTACGTCCGGTTAGATCCCACAAGCAGTGCCATTTGGCGGGGCCGTGGAGGAGGGCCTTCTCTGTGATGGCGTCCACGCTTTGGAATCAGCTCCCCCCCGGAGATTAGGACTGCTCCCACCCTGTTGATCTTCCGTAAGCTACTTAAGACCTGGCTTTTCCGGCAGGCCTGGTGTTTATAAAACCTTACCCCTGGATGATTGTTTTTGTATTGTTGTTTTGTTATGTTTTATGTGTTTTTTTTATTGTTAGCCGCCCAGAGTCCTTCAGGAGTGGGGCGGCTTATAAATTTTAAAAATAAAAATAAAATAAAAATGGGAAGGTGCTAAAGTAAATGTATGAAGGAATAGGGTCATTTTGCTTTAATGATTGTTATAAATGTGATAAATATAAAGCTCTTTTTATATCTGTCACATGTAAAATGGCGTGTATATTCTCCCAAAATACTCTTCAAAAATGTGTTTCCAGTTTGAAATGAATGGACAAAATATAAAGAAAGAAATAGACCTTGATATTTCTAAAAAATATTTAATAGATAGCAAAACTAATTGTGCACATAAAAACATTTATATAAAACTTTTAAAACATTAGTGTCATATATTGCACTTTTATGTCATTTTCAACAAATAAAGTGCATAAACACAAGAACAATTGTACATATTATGGTCGGTACTTAAAAACCCATAGAAATTATTGTCAGAATTAAAGTTTCAAACTTCCAAACAAATTTCAGTTTCACAGGGTTTCTGTGCTGTTCTGATGGAAGGCAAAAGTGACTTCAGAGGAAGTCATAACATAAACTTTCATTTAGTGAAGATGATGCATTCCAAAGGTGATACTTCATCATAAATATACAGTTCATAAATATTACAGTCAAAAGCCATAATTTGATAATGAAATGTACTAAACTTCATAAAAGTGATTACATTTACAGGATGCCTTGTAATATTCTAGTTAAGATTTTTGTAGGTTTTTGATCTTCTTATTTCAGATAAGAATCAAATCCTGTACCTCTCCTGATATCATAGATGTATCAAGGCCATCAAGAACTCCTCCAAAAAGCAAAGAGAAAAAACTTGTTATACAATATGCATGATTTAGTTGGTGGAGGAATGTAGCCATGCATTCATCCAAATGTCAGTAGATTTAATTGCTGAATGATATCAGGGTATTGCCAACAAATAAATCAAAAAACCTTGTGACAAGTCTTACCTAAATAAAATTTATAATTATACAATTATAAATCTAATCAGCACAACAAAATCATTGAAATGCCAGATGTGTAGAGTAATAATTTTACAGGAAAACAATTGCTAAGTTCTAAAGTGCTACTTATACTGAGAAAACAGCATCCATGGAATGGGCACAAAACAAGATGCACTGGAGCCAAATTTATTCAAAGAGTAAAGTGGTTGAGAAAAGCCAGATCAAAACGATAGTAAGAATTAAAAGATGTTTCTCTGGAAAGAGCAAGTTTTAGTGGGTCTTCCTAACTTGTAAAGATTCAGTAATACAGTAGAGTATTACAAAACACCATTTACATTTGGTCTCATCTGGCATAGATCAAATTCAAACATGGGAATTCATAGTAAAACTTTGTATTTTATTATGATGCATTTGTAAATGCAATGCCCTTTTCACTGATACAGAATTTGAAATTGGTTATCATTGTGCCCCTTTATTTTTATATTTCTACAAGACCTGTTTATCCTCATCTTCAATGTTCTAATTAAGAATTACAGTTCAAAAAGTCCAAACAACTAATGTATTTCATATTTCTTTAAAATACAGAAAGAGCATTATCTGTATTTATGAAAACAATTTAATACTTCTTTATTTATTATATACATTTTGGGAATTAAAAACAACAATTACCATCCCAGCAAAGCATTGTTGCCTATTTGGAGATATTTCATGCAATAGTTTTAAAAAGTATTTCTTTAAATGGTAATTGTCATTTTGGGGGGGGGAAATTAGAGGAAGAAAATTTCTATTTATATTAAAGCAATATAAATTGGCATACATACATATATATACACACACACAATGTTACTATTGAACATATAGTAATCCCAGTTTATGCTACAGAAATGCAAATAATACAACAAATATTAACTTAAAATGAGAGAAAAATACACAGGCAGCAATTACAATCATTTGTTTTCCATTAAATTTTCCTGGAACAGTATTAATTTCAAATAGCAGCGTTAATTTCACAGGTTATACCCAAGGTTCATTGCCAGTAGTTTCATTAAAACTTGCCCAGAACTTTTTTTGGAATCCAAATTTCTAATCCTCCACCTACAAAAGCCCAGTATGAAATTAATAACATTCAGTGAAACACGAAATAGAAAGGTAGCTGTGATATCACACCCATAATCTGTTTAGTAGGGTTACATTTTGCTGCTCATAGTAATAAGATAGAAGACCAGTGTACTGACTGGGTAGGGATGAATTATATTCAGCGGAGACAGTTAACCTTTTCTTCCATCCCCACCTTTTTCATCAGGACTAAACCCCCTGATAGCCAGACTCTACGAACTGAATTTGAGCTGCTTACTGAAATTTCTACAAAAATTATGTAAAATATTTCAAGCAATTTTATCTTTAGCAGTTTTATATTTGTATTATATTTTTTTAGCAAATTTATATAGCCACCCATCTCACAAAAAGTGGCTCTGGGTAGCTTACAAGCACAATAATTCATATCACAATATGAAAAACATCAGACATAAATAATAACAAAAATCTAAAGAAAGGAAAACATGAAAAAAAACCTCAAGATAGCAGAAGGAGAATCATCATTCAGCCTCACTCAGCCACTTATATGGCTACAAGAGCAGTAAAGGAGGCATTCAAAAGGTTTACAATTATCTATATTTATTTGAATTGAGGTTTAAATCAGGCCAGCAAGTCAAAGATCTAAAATTCTAAAAAAAATGTCTTGAAGGAAGTTCCATAATTTTTTTAAAAAAATCCATTCAATAGCACCATATTACAAAAGAAGAGACAGAAAAATAGTATCTGAACTGCTCAGTGTAGTCATAGGATTACTCTTTTAAAACAAACTCAGAGGTATGTTCTACCCTGCCTAAGGCAAATGCAAATCCTTACTTCTTGCACCTTTACTTCTTTGCTAATTCAATACAAATGACGTAAGTGCACATTGAAAAACACACACTTTATCTCTCATGGCAAATAATCCAATAAATTATTTCAAATGTTTTCTAAAAAATATTCCAGCATTTTATAATTACTTGGATATGAGGAAAATGTAAAGACAGTAACTGGGGAAAATAAAATATTTTGAATATCTCCATTCATATTTTAGTAAGAATACAGTTCTTCATTTGTGAACTACAAAAGGGTGCGTTAATTGGTCCTTTTGCTGATTTAACTCATTTACTCCCTACACCCATGAAGCCTATTTCCTGACTTTTCTTCTTTTCATCGATCTCAAGTAAACAGAAGAACAAAGTTAAGTGGAAAATAAAGATATGCCATAAGCCAGGACAATCATAAAGTAGTCGGCTTGCAATCTGCATCCTAATTAATACATTAAACCAGAAGGAAATCTCAACATTCTTGAGATTTCTACTTGCATCTGAGAGATGCGCACACTAACAATTAAGACAAGGTTTGAAGAGTTATCTGACCAGAAGACACTTTTACTCATTGACTAAATACTTTATCCTTTTTTCTTTGCAGGGCAGAGTAGCAAATAGAGTTCGCACTGCTTATTTGCCCAACATTAGGAAAATGGCTGTCCATTTCAACTAGATCTTAGAAGAAACCAATGGCATCTGTTCTAGTCGTAATACGTATACACTTGGTATTCAACTTTCAACTGCTGCCTCCCAGAAACATGGCAAACACTCACCAACAACTACTTCTTTTTCAACCAAAGGAAGCTTTGTACAAGAAAGCTCCCCAACTTTCTTTTGAGACAAAAGAATTTAGAATACATTTACCCCAAAGTCTAAAATTGAGTGTTATTTATATGTGGTGTGTTTTCACTGTTTTCTTTATAACTGTCCTTGGAACAACTGTTCTTTTTGACCTTATCTTCAGCCCATATGGGTTCAACAGGAATTTCTACAGCATCTTTTTTTTGGAAGACCTTCTTCAGTGATGGAGAAAAGCTGCCAATTGTTTCACTGTAACCATTCATCTGAGAAAGAAGAGCGTCCTGCTGGTTGCAGCACAACTGAGGATCACATGATCTGGAGATACATGGTGTACTGCACAGGACCTTAGGACAATTATGGTCTAGGTACTCTGGCTGGATGGTCACCGAATGGATCCCTTCTTCATGGAACACCTCCCTGATTTTGTAGGAAGCAATGGAGTAGTCAGAAGTAGAGTGACATTTGACATGGAGTGTGGCAATATTCTTCCCCTTGATAAATTCCCAGACATGCAGCTCATGAATGCTGCTAACGCCTGGCACCTCCAGTAATTTGTTTGCTAGGAAGAAAAAAAATACAAACAAGGTGATAATCAGATTTTTATCCACATTCCGTAGTATTCCATCTAATATTTAACTGCATCTACAAACACAAAGCATGCCTCTTAGAATGGACAGAATAAGAACCTGATCATAACTTCTCCAGGCTGTACAATAATGTAGGGCTGATAAAACGGAAACCAGCCCCCGCTGAAACAATGGGTCCATGTCTCACAGTGCCTAATATTGTAACAACTTCCAAGTAAGAAATATGGAGACAGAGGATATTGGATGAACCTGTTGAAATTCCTCCTGCCAACATTAATAATTACATTGGAAGAAACAGAAATAAGTCAACTTCTCCTGCCTAATATCCTGCAGATGGTTTGAGAATTATGGGGGCTGAATGGGAACTGGAGGGCACCAGGATAAACTAAGTCACATGATCATATGACCCAGTAAACTACAGCCTGGTAAACAGTGATATGAAGTTAGCTTTGAAAACAAATTAATGATTTGAATAATTATAAAATAATTTGAAATTTCAAAATTAGATACCTCTTAAATAACATTATATTCTGAATATATATTGGGTATCAGCACATTTATTAGTATACAGCAATAAGTATTATGTGCATGACCCATGTGAAGCTGGGGGGGAAACTATCAATTTGTAGTATATTTCAATTTTTTATTCTGTTTTTTTCACTGCTGATTTGAAGTATATCCTTTAAAAAAACTGAAGAATTGCTTTGTTCCACCTTATGATATATTGCATTCAAAATAAGGATTGATTCAGCAAGCAAACCCCGTTCCAAAAATTCCAAGTTCAGAGGAGTGAATTCAAAAACAAAATCAACCATCACAATTTATAAATATGTCATAAATATGAGTTTGGGATCCACAATGCATAACAATAAACCAATCTATTTATATTAGTAGTTATGGACTACAAATGTCTACAAGTATGTACAGGAATTTCTGCAAACAACAGCTTGACTCTTCCTATGTGGCCTGTTCTCAAAATAACTGTACGTGCCTTTATTAATCCTCTAAGACTTGAGTCATGTTGCTAGGAAGTATCATCATGTAACCCTTGAGCATGTAATGTTGCAGTGAATGTATAATCCAAAAATCAGCTTTTAAGGCTCATAACAGTCCAAAAGCAACTTACCCAGTATTTGCATATTCACGTTTTTGGGGACCATTTGCAACAAAATGGTTGCCGTCTCCTTAATAAGTGGAAAGGCTGAAGACAGTATAATAAAGACCATAACAATGGTCAGGCTCGGATCAATGTAACACTGCCAATTACAAGGTGTGTTCTCATCCAGAGGAAGTATATAGAATATCGAAGCAGCAACCACAACAATAACTGAGCCAAGAGCGTCTCCCATCACATGCAAAAGAACACCTGAAACAAAGCATAAGGAAACCATTAGATCCCAGGGAAAAAACAGGATAACTGTATTGGAATACATTAGATTCTAAAATTTGGTATAAACTTGTATAGAAAGCAACTATAAATAAGAACACTTTATCTCTAATTATGCCTGTCTTATTCTAGAACCATAGTGACGAACCTATGGCACTCAGAGCCCTCTCTGTGGGCACGCGAGCCATCGCCCCAGTCCTAGGCCTTCAGCTGGGTTTCATAAAACCTTTTTGCTTTAGGCCTCTGCTGCCGTGTGCAAAAAAAAAAAAGGTTCAATCAATAAATCAATTTCAACTTCTCCTGGAGGAAAAAAAGTTGGAATTGATTGAACTGAACTTTTTAGTCCCACCCAGTCTGCCATTACCACTGCAGCCACACCCACCCAATGGGCCACGCCAACCCGGCACCTGACAATACATAAGTGGGTTTTGGGTTGCAGTTTGGGCACTCGGTTTCTAAAAGGTTCGCCATCACTTTCTAGAAAAATCTTTTATCTCTATTATAGTACCTCTGATGTTCAAAGCGTCAGACTTTTTTTCTTTTTTCTGTTTCTGATCCTCTTCAGGCTTTTTCTGGGTATCTGCAGAATCACCTGCATTCAAAGAAGAAACGCTGTGTTGTGCATAAATTCTACAAACAGAAAGATACAAATCTATTCAAAACCAACTTATCTTAAACACTCAGAACCAGCAAGTTACTTATGACTCATGCTTGCATACACTCTACATGCAAACTGTAGTATAATTACAAGCCAATAAAGCAACGGGGCAAAATTGAATGGAATTGTTTAATATTTATAAAGACCACCTGATACAGCCTGACATCTAATTAATTCTAAAATTTCTTTCCTACTATTGAAGTATAGAAAAAATGATTTATAATATCAAAAGACTGCAAAAACAAATACTAATTGACACAAAGATTGCTTCAATGTTACTTTAATGTTACAAATACAATTATTTCTTTGGCTTTATTTAGTAATAAATCATTATACAAGTACACTGCCAGTAAGTACATTATTATCCTTTTAGTATAACCTAATGTGTGTGTGTGTGTGTATTAATGTGTTATATATTATATATCACTCTTTTTCAATAATGTATATTGTGCAATAAAAACAAAAAGAGAGAGAGAAGAAGAAATGCTGGGGGGGGGGGGAAGCAAGAATAAGAGAAGGGTAAAACGGCACAGCTACAGACAAAGGTGCAAAGATAAGTAGCCCAAATAAGGAGGAAAGGTCCAAAAGAGTAAGGATGAGGGTTATAGATAAGAACGGGCAAATAGAATAATCAGAAAAGAGTGAATAAGAATTAGCACTTTCAAAGAAGCACGCGCAAAGACAACACTTCCCAAAAGAAGATGGGAAATAAAAAATGGAAGGGTGAAAAATATCCCCCAAAATACCCAAAGGCAAAGAGAAATTGGGCGAAACTGGAGAAGAACGGAGCGAAGGGAGACAAGAGAGACAATTTTTTAAAGGCAGCTGAAAGAAAAGGAAGGAAGGAATGCGGGGGTGGGGGGGAGAGATGCTGCTAATAGCGAGCAGGGAGGCAACCGAGAGGCACCTGCTTTCAGACGCGGCTCAGCGGCGCTGCCGCTCATTTTCACCATCCCCTCCGAGGCAAATGAGCTGCTAGTAACGGTTCGGGTTGGGCTCTCGTCCTCGGGGCTAAGATAGGGCGGTGGCGGCGACCCTCGACGGCGGCTGCCACAGCAGGAGCCCCAGTCCTGGAAGACGAGGAGCCCCACGAGATTGATGGCCAGGCCGATCGCGCCTACTACGAGGATGAGCGTGGCGTTGCTGATGGACTCCGGGTTCACCAGGCGCTGCACTGCTTCCACCAGCATGGTGAAATAGAGGGCGGTCAGGAAGACGGCGTTGCAGAGGGCGCCCACCACCTCGGCCCGCCCGGAGCCGTAAGAGGCGCCGGGGCGGCGTCGGCGTTGGTGAGACATCCGTCCTGTGACGAGACCCACGCACAGAGCGAGCACGTCGGAGAGCATGGAGAAGGAGTCGGAGACCAGCGCGATCGAGTTGCCCGCGTAGCCGGACACCAGTTCGGCCACGCACAAGCTCGCTGTCAGTACGAGCATGAAGATCAGCCGGCACGTCTTGCCCGTGTAGCGCCCCATGAGGAGAGCTGGAACCGCCCGCTCTTCGCTGCCGCTCTAGTTTTTTCCAGGACCCGCCCTGGACCAGGCTGTTATGGGGCTGCCTCCCACCTTCCTCTTCTGCGAGCTGAGGGCACTGGCGACAAATGGCTGGGCGGTGGGGACTCTGCGTTTAGCTTTAAAGCGGCGCTGGGAACGCCCTTATTGTCAGTTCCCGGAGTAATTTGCAGGTGTAGTCTGGACATATTTAGTAAATAACAGCCATATAACAGCAAATTAATCTAATAAGCAGAACATAATTTTAAGAAAATCCAGAAACAGTTTCCATATGGAAACAACATTATATATTCTTTTCTCTGACTAGAACAGTTGATTTTGCCATCTCTCCTAGGTCCATCATTTTTTTTCCATTACATTGTGGGGATTGATTTTTTTTTTCATTTTTGTGCATATGGAATTCTCAGATGTAGTCAACATATACAATAACAAAGTTCCCATTTTTTTTCACGCTCCTTATCCAATAATTCTAAAATGAAAACTACTAGTTTCAATTTTATATTCATTTTAAGAATCTTTTGCATTAAAACATGAATTTGGCCCCAATATTTCATTGCTTTGTCACAAGTCCACTAAAGCAGAGGTCGCCAACCTTTTGGGTACCAGGGACCAGTTCCATGGAGAGACATTTTTCTGCGGACCACGGGGTGTGGTTTTGTGTGCTGCCTGCATCTCTCAATGGGGCTTTGTGAGAACCAGTTACTGGCATGCCGCGGACCGATACTGGTCCACAGACTAGGGGTTGGGGACCCCTGCACTAAAGATAATAAGAGGTTCCTTCTTTACAATAACATTTCCAACATTCATTTGAGACAGCTTTATAGATCTTTGACTGTTTATCAGGTGTTAGGTACCAACAATAAATCATCTTGTAAACATTTTCTTTCAGATTATAGTTTAGTGTAAATTTGAAACCATTCATCCCCATTACTTTCCATTGCTTAAGCATTAATTTATGTGTAGCCAATATTTGGCTTTTTCTAAAGAATTGAAACTGAATCTTCCCTCGTGATAGGTAAAAAGAAAAGTAGTGGCATTGCAGCCCCAGAGAACCCTGGAGGAAATGGATTATCCTGAGCCTTTTTAATCAAGTTTCAGGCCCTGATCTGGGCCCAAATGCATTGGTTGCATTCATGGATAATCTCTGGTGGGAGTGGGATGAAGGTGATGCATCCATCCTTGCTCTCTTTGACCTCTTAGTGGCTTTCGATATCATCAAGCCTGGTATCCCTTTGGGCAGACTTGGGGAGTTAGGGGTGAGCAGCACAGTCTTGTGCTGGGTCACCTCCTTCCTCCAAGGCCAGTGCCAATCAGTGTTAATAGGGAGTGAGAGGTCCAGCCCACGCCCCCTCTTTATTGGGTGCCACAGGGTTCAGTACTTGCTCCAGCCCTCTTTAACATCTATATGAAACGTCTGGGTGAGATAATCCATCATCAGAGGATGAGGTATCACCAATATGCTGATGATACCCAGCTATATACCTCCACCCCAGGTGAAGTGTGTGATGCAGTGGACATTTCACATTGCCTGGAGGCTGTGGGGGTCTCTATGGGGAACAACAGACTTCAACTGAACCCTAGTAAGATGGAGTGACTATGGATGGACTCCTCTTGTGTCCAGGAGTTCATCATCTTTGGTCCTCAGTGGGGTTACATTACCCCAGATAGACCCGGTGTTTAACTTAGGGGTCCTTTTGGACTAACAGCTCCTGCTCAAAAAGCAGGTAGCATCCGTGGCCAGGAGGGCTTTTCCCTAATTTCATATTGTGCACCAATTATGCCCCTTCCTGGGCAGGGAGGTTCTCTGCTCAGTCACTCATGCCCTGATCATCTCCCAATTGGACTATTGCAACTCTACATGGGGCTGCCCTTGAAAAGTATCCAGAAGCTTTAACTATCTACACTCTTGGTTATTTCCTTTAAAGCCTTTTATAAAAAAAAATCCAGGGTATCTGAGGAGCCATCTTGCTCCAGTGGGATTGGCCCATCCAGCAGAAGAAGGCTATTTTGCTCTATCAAATAATTTTAACTGGCGGCATCCAAGAGAAGACATTTTCTGCTGTGGCTACTGCTCTCTAGAATGTTCTGCTGGAGATGAGGTCCACCCCTACCTGCCAGGCCTTCTGGAAGAGTTAAAACCTGGTTCTGTCAACTGGCCTGGGGCCCCATTGGGAGTATTCTCTGCTAAGGGTGGTTGATGGGGTAGAGGAAAGATCCTCACATTTGTGTCACCTGTTCTCCTGGGTTTTAGTCTCTAATTAATCTTTCTTTATTTTAATTGTTTCATATCATCTTTTTATCATCCTGTAAACTGTCCAGAGTCACTTCAACAGTGGTATAGGTGGCATATAAATTTAATAAATATATAAACTTTCATATGGATTCTTGCCCAGGAGTCCCAGCTGATAGCCTAAACAACCTTGTTCAATTCTATGATTTTGTGAAATGGATGACTGGAGGGCACTCTTACATTTTCCATTTAGTGTATAGAAAAGATAGAAAAAGATAGTGTATAGAAAAGATCCAGCAGAAACTTCATTTTAAAAAAAACCAGGGTGGACATTTCTTTTTTTTTCTGAATCCTTCAGTCAACTCCTTCACTATTACTATTTTTACTGTTCTTTGGGTTCCTATAACCCTACAAATAGACTAAAACCAGGGTGTGTCTGTACATGAAAAAGATGCAATTTCACAAGTAGAGATGGAATATTTTACTTATCTTATTTATATTTCCATTTCTGAACTGCCCATCTCCCTCAAAGAGATAGAATCACATGGAAGCATTACCTCTGGTTTTATCCATGCTCCAACAGATGGCAGAAGCATTCTGTTACAGGAACCAAACAGGCTGCACTATGTAGAACAGTGTGGAGCCTTAATCTAATATCCGATTAGTCTGATTTCAAAAGATTTCTGAAAAAGTCTCTAGAGCAGGGGTCCCCAACCCCCAGTCTGTGGACCAGTACCAGGCCACGGCATGCCAGCAACAGGTCCATACAAAGAAGCAAAGCCCCATCTGTGGGATGCAGGCAGCACACAAAACCTCACGCCCTCTGGCCCACGGAAAAACCTCTCTCCACAGAACCAGTCTCTGGTGCCCACAAAGTCGGGGACCTCTGCTCTAGAGTAATCTGTCTCTTCCCTAGCAGCCATATGGCAAGACCAGAAGAGGAAAGAAAATGCCATCCAGAAGGCAGAGACATACTTTTCCCTAATTGACTGGATTCACACATCGCACTAAACTGTAGATTATTGAATGCATGAGGATTGGATTCAGACAATAAAAAGCCATGGCCAAGCAAACCATATTATAATTTAATACAATGTATGACCCAAATCAGAAAAAAAGAGCTTTATCATTGGCTGTAGTCTTTTATTAAACCCTCTACAGGGAAAAAAAATTCTTTCCTAATGAGGGACTGTAAAAATAACTATCAGCCTTTGAATAGTACATCAAATCCTGCTTTCCAGGAAAGGGAGCCTTTTAGTTGAAAACATCTTTGACATTTGAAATCTTTTTCCTGCACACCCAAAATATGTGAACCTTGGTCCCAAAGAATACTATGTAAAGTGGCCTGTTCTTTCAATCACAATAACTCATTGATTTTTTAAAAAAATGATTGTAGTTAACTTGCAGGCTTTCTAATTGACATCTATACAATCACCAAATCATTAACTGCTAGAAAGGGATATCATGTGCCCTTGGACCTCACCAGATTGCAGAATCATCACTAAAGTCACAGGGTGCAGACAGTTCAGGGAGTACAAAAAGTCAGTGAGTACAAAGAGTTTACTATATTGCCCTTAAAATTAGCTTCCTCAGCTCCTGATCTGCAAGGAATAGAGGCCCATGTATTATCTAAGAAATGCTAATACTTTGCTTAAAGACCCCTGAACCAGGTAACTCATCCAATTTTGAAGTGAGTTTTTTCATAATAATGATTAAACAAATAAAATTTATCTTCTAAATACATGTATATGGGATGTCCAAATTTTTAGGAGTCAGGGATCTTTTGATTTAATTTTTTTAATGGGCAAGTACCAGAATGGATAAGAATGCTGGGATATGTCTGGGAATGGCATGCACTGTGACTCATTGGTTAAAGTGTTAGACCCAGACTTTGGAAATCTAGATTCAGATTCACCCTCAATCTTGAAAACCTATTGGGTGAGCTTTGAGCCAATCATTCTTTGCTCAACTTAGTGGGGAAAATTAGAAGGAATTGCCTTGACCTTCAAGAGGAAATGTGGGCTATATTTCTAACAAAGCATGACTTATATGGAGAGCTAATTCTGTTTTCAGGGAAGCTTCTGATACTGCTTCCTATAATATTTTTCAATGAGGACCCTCGGATAAGCATCTGTTTTACAGATCTTAAAGTTCTATGAGATGAATTCACCACTTTCTACTTAGAAACACTGAACAGAATAAATCTAGGGAACATATTTGGTTAATAACAAACTGGCAGTCAGAAATTACTTATTCCCCTCTCCCAAGTTCCTATAAGATTCAATGTACAATGTCCAACTGTTTAGTTCTATTTAGTTTTGTTTTGCTTAAAAGCTTTGTAATCTGCCTTGCCTGTAATAAAATGGCTCACAATAATAGTTAAAAACAAAAAATGTGTATCTTTAGAGCAATATATACGGTTAAAGTAGACATATCCAATGGTGTGGCTTCTTTCCAGGTGTAGAACCCTATTTCTATGACCTCTTTTTTTGGTATAGCTTTGTGTTTAGGGCTCCTTTCCAAGCATAACACTTTATCTGAAATGTGTTGAGGACTTTGGAGAAAAGTATTGTTATGTGCCAATTACATATTATATAAAAATATGAGCAAATTTGATGTAACAGCTCCTGCTAACTGCAGGAGATGCTGATTTTTTAAAAAAGGAATTGGATTTCAGCATTTCTGAAGGAAATTTCTTCCAAACCTTTCATAGCCTCCTGCAAGTTACAAGGTAAGTAATTTAGTTTCTAGGATCAATGATATTTGTTTCCCTTTCCCATCCTCTAAAAAAAGCAAAGGATGGCATTTAACAAATCACAGTCATGCTCACATACATACATTCCTAGAGCAATATGTTATTTTTAATATTTTCTTTATATTAATTAAATTATTTTTAAGACTTACATATAGCAGGAATAGGAATCATCACTGGACTATCATTAGCAAAGTAATCTAAAAAAGAAGGAAACAAAGAAAGTTTTAATATTCTTTGAATGGCTCTTGATGACCTCATTGCACTGGACATAGCAGTGTTATGGTTTCAGAATGCAATTGGTAAGTTTTGTGTTGGTAGAATACATGTCATGTTTTTTTTTCTTTTGAGTACTAGATCCATAAAATAATTATGGAACTTAATCTTTCCTAATAATTAAACTGTAACGGTTTAGTACAGGTACTTAGATATTGCATTGGGTCTCACACAAATTACAGGAGATATTCAAACACAATTTACATTTTTTTCAATAAGGATAATGAGAATATATCTTCTCACTGCATGTGTTACACAGTAGGATCTGAAGCTAGCTTAGATAGGACTTCATCCCAGTTTTTTATAATTTGAACTATCTCATTAATGAAATTCATGCTTCATAGAATTGTCTTATATAAGAGTTTATTCCTGTA